CCCAAAAAGTTCGGGGGCCTTGCACGAGCGTTTAGATCTACAAGTTCATCAGGTGTCAAGGAATGTTCCATTTTTGACTTCAAACAAAATATACGATAAAACCCATCGGTCGTTCACAACAATTGTTAAGAATCAATTAAACTATGGCAAAAACCTGCTTGGATTCTTGCTGAGTCAATTCATTCATATATCTTCTGCTGCACGTTCACTAGATGCCGTCGCTTTTATACGGATAAACTCAAATGATCCCAATGCCCCAATCGCTGGTGTTCTACAGACATCAGGAACCTGTTCACTCTGGTCGCTACCGGGTCTCAGCCCGTTGTGCATTGTTATCGGTATGGACTCATCACCGTCACTTGACACAATTGCTGTACCTGACCAGAAAGAAAAACCAAAGATTTCTAGCCCTTTCCGTTTGGCTTGGTGGAATTCTCACGAACTGGACACGGTACAATTAGCTGTGCTCCGAGAAAACGGGACTTTGAGTGTGCTGAAGCATAGCGATTCGAATACAAGTTGGCTAACATTGCCCAGTCATCAACTTCGTGAACTCGGGCTGCATCAGTTTGCTAGCTTTGCCCATATGCATGCGTCTGAAGACGGACTACAGACGAGGGAACTTTTGGTGATCGATATCAGTGAACCAGCACCAAAGGAGCTAGTTGTTTCGAATGATTTCACTCCAGTGAAGTCTGTAGTCCGTGCAATTCAACTTGCTTCCACCACTGAGACGGGTCTGTTCTGTCACTTCATCCATTCTGGACGCTACGAAGAGGCTATCACTCTGGCCAAACAACATCACCTGGATGTGGAATTGGTCTATCAGCAGCAGTGGTTAAAATTGGCCGTTCAGATCCCATATCTGGCTGATTTTGATAATTTGATCTCCTCTACTTTGGGTCTGATCAAACAGCGTCCATTATGGGTCATAATGCAATGTATCCTATATCTTCCACCGACTACGCCAGACTCTCTGGTCTCTGCAGAGCAGTTATTTCGTGCTATGCGAAGCCTTTTGAATCACGGTTTGCAACGACTCCGAACTTTGCCACCTACTCAAAAAACCCAATTTTCAGATGGAACATGCATTCTTTTGGAATATAGATTGCTGCAACAACTGGAACAAATCGAAGCGATCCAAATACTGCTTTCTCATGAACATAACCCGATGGAACATAAAGGGCATCATTCTGCAGTTTATGATATTCGTTCTTTGGTGTACGCTCTTCGTAGCTTTCGAAACTATGCCCTCATAGATATCGCAATGGAATACGCTCATGCTGGACGTTTTCAGATAGTGCAAAAGCTGATGGCTAGATATCCACGCTCCGTTGGGCGCTATCGACTTGCAATAGCAAGTAGTGTTTCAGAGACCATAAATCCCGGATCATACGTGCACTGCCTACTGAATCCAGATTTTTCACAAATCTCGGAATTCGCCTATGCAACACGAGAAGAATTGGAGCAATTGGCCATAAAACGTCTGGCTAAATTTTGGGAGGAATTTCACGAGCCCTTGGAATGTGAAATCAACCCGGCGGATTACGCCCAACGATTGGCCAAATGGTTGCTTACGCGAGCCCGGACAATCGATGCACGAACCGGTTTGACCAATTTTGCACTCACCTTGATTGAATTGGGTGGAACAATATGTTTCACTTTAGCATCGGATCTGGTGAGGAGAGATCCTGAGCTCTCTGTCAATCTCCGCAAGCTCCGCAGATTGCGTTGGAATCTGTTCTTTCTTACCGAGGTGAGTGACAATTCGTTTGATTGCACTTATCTCGTTTTCTTTTTTGTTCGCCGCGGTAGCTTGGAGATGCTATCGTTTTTTAATTCGACGATTTATTCTTCGGATATTTCCGTTTGCGGGATGGTCAACAG